AACACATACCTTCCCCAATGTCCATAACCCCACTTCCCTCTTCCTAGCCCCCTCTCTCTGGCAACCCTCCATTTGTTTTGTGAGATTAAGAGCCTCTTATGGTTTGTCTCCCTCCCGATCCCATCTTGTTTCACTTATTCCTTTCCTATCCTCCAAACCCCCAACGTTGCATCTCAACTTCCTCAAATCAACGAGATCATATGATAATTGTCTTTCTCTGTTTGACTTATTTTGCTAAGCATAAAACCCTCTAGTTCCATTCATGTCATCGCAAATGGCAAGATTTCATTTCCTTTGATGGCTGCATGGTATTCCATTGTATATATATACCACTTCTTCTTTATCCATTCACCTGGTGATGGACATCTAGGTTCTTTCCATAGTTTGGCTATTGTGGACATTGCTGCTATAAACATTCAGGTATGTGTGCCCCTTCGGATCACTACATTTGTATCTTTAGGGTAAATACCCAGTAGTGCAATTGCTGGGTCATAGGACAGGTCTATTTTCACCTTTTGAGGAAGTTCCATGCTGTTTTCCAGAGTGGTTGCACCAGCTTGCATTCCCACCAACAGTGTAGGAGGGTTCCCCTTTCTCCGCATCCTCGCCAGCATCTGTCATTTCCTGACTTGTTAATTTTAGCCATTCTGACTGGTGTGAGGTGATAACTCATTGTGATTTTGATCTGTATTTCCCTGATGCCGAGTGAAGTGGAGCATTTTCTCATGTGTCTGTTGGCCATCTGGATGTCTTCTTTGCAGAACTGTCTGTTCATGTCCTCTGCCTATTTCTTGATTGGATTATTTGTTCTTTGGGTGTTGAGTTTGATAAGTTCTTTATAGATTTTGGATACTAGCCGAAAGACTCACTCTTACGAAGCACTTGTAAGACAGAGCATACAGTCAAATGAGCAAGAGGACAAAACTCTTCAAAGTGTAGGGATAGAGGGCAGATACCTCAATATTATCAAAGCCATCTATGAAAAACCCACTGCAAATATCATTCTCAATGGAGAAAAACTGAAAGCTTTTCCACTAAGGTAAGGAACACGGCAGGGATGTCCATTATCACCACTGCTATTCAACATAGTAGTAGAAGTCCTAGCCTCAGCAATCAGACAACAAAAGGAAATTAAAGGCATCCATATCAGCAAAGAAGAAGTCAAACTATCACTCTTCGCAGATGATATGATACTATATGTGGAAAATCCAAAAGACTCCACTCCAAAACTGCTTGAACTTGTACAGGAATACAGTAAAGTGTCAGGATATAAAATCAATGCACAGAAATCGGTTACATTTCTCTACACCAACAATAAGAAGAAAGAGAAATTAAGGAGTCAATCCCATTTACAATTGCACCCAAAACTATAATATACCTAGGAATAAACCTAACCAAAGAGGCTAAGAATCTATACTCAGAAAACTATACAGTACTCATGAAAGAAATTGAGGAAGACACAAAGAAATGGAAAAATGTTCCATGCTCCTGGATTGGAAGAATAAATATTGTGAAAATGTCTATGCTACCTAAAGCAATCTACACATTTAATGCAATTCCTATCAAAATACCATCCATTTTTTTCAAAGAAATGGAACAAATAATCCTAAAATTTATATGGAACCAGAAAAGACCTCGAATAGCTAAAGGAATATTGAAAAAGAAAGCCAAAGTTGGTGGCATCACAATCCCGGACTTCAAGCTCTATTACAAAGCTGTCATCATCAAGACAGCATGGTACTGGCACAAAAACAGACACACAGATCAATGGAACAGAATAGAGAGCCCAGAAATAGACCCTCAACTCTATGGTCAACTAATCTTCGACAAAGCAGGAAAGAATGTCCAATGGAAAAAAGACAGCCTCTTCAATAAATGGTGTTGGGAAAATTGGACAGCCACATGCAGAAAAATGAAATTGGATCATTTCCTTATGCCACACACGAAAATAGACTCAAAATGGATGAAGGACCTCAGTGTGAGAAAGGAATCCATCAAAATCCTTGAGGAGAACACAGGCAGCAACCTCTTCGACCTCAGCTGCAGCAACATCTTCCTAGGAACATTGCCAAAGGCAAGGGAAGCAAGGGCAAAAATGAACTACTGGGATTTTATCAAGATCAAAAGCTTTTGCACAGCAAAGGAAACAGTTAACAAAACCAAAAGACAACTGACAGAATGGGAGAAGGTATTTGCAAACGACATATCAGATAAAGGGCTAGTAGTGTCCAAAATCTATAAAGAACTTAGCAAACTCAACACCCAAAGAACAAATAATCCAATCAAGAAATGAGCAGAGGACATGAACAGACATTTCTGCAAAGAAGACATCCAGATGGCCAACAGACACATGAAAAAGTGCTCCATATCACTTGGCATCAGGGAACTACAAATCAAAACCACAATGAGTTATCACCTCACACCAGTCAGAATGGCTAAAATTAACAAGTCAGGAAATGACAGATGCTGGCGAGGATGCGGAGAAAGGGGAACCCTCCTACACTGTTGGTGGGAATGCAAGCTGGTGCAACCACTCTGGAAAACAGCATGGAGGTTCCTCAAAATGTTGAAAATGGAACTACCCTATGACCCAGCAATTGCACTACTGGGTATTTACCCTAAAGATACAAACATAGTGATCTGAAGGGGCACGTGCACCTGAATGTTTATAGCAGCAATGTCCACAATAGCCAAACTATGGAAAGAACCTAGATGTCCATCACCAGATGAATGGATAAAGAAGATGTGGTATATATACACAATGGAATACTATGCAGCCATCAAAAGAAATGAAATCTTGCCATTTGCGACGACATGGATGGAGCTAGAGGGTATCATGCTTAGCGAAATAAGTCAATCGGAGAAAGACAACTATCATATGATCTCCCTGATATGAGGGAGAGGAGATGCAACATGGGGGATTAAGGGGGTAGGAGAAGAGTAAATGAAACAAGATGGGATTGGGAGGGAGACAAACCATAAGTGACTCTTAATCTCACAAAACAAACTGAGGGTTGATGAGGGGAGGGGGGTTGAGAGGGGGGGGGTGGGGTTATGGACATTGGGGAGGGTGTGTGCTATGGTGAGTGCTGTGAAATGTGTAAACCTGGTGATTCACAGACCTGTACCCCTGGGGATAAAAATATATTATATGTTTAAAAAAAATAAAATTAAAAAAAAATGAGCAAGAGGAAAACTTGGTATGAAATTGCAAAACTGGGCTTGCCCATGGCTTGCTGCTCTCAACCCTCTTACTTCATGTTAAACTGCTGTTAATTGAGAGTACAAAGCATTAATGTGCTCAGAAAAGCCATAAATCATGGAGACCTCAGTACTTTGCTGACACCATTTCCCTATTTACGCATCCCAGATGAGCTAATTTTGTTAATTCTCATTTCAGAAACACACATTGTAGCAAGACAAACCGGACCTGAAGAGATTTCTCTTTGTTCGCTTATTATCTCTATACTTTTGAATAAATCATCCAGCATAGTAACTATTTATTAAATATAAATCATTTTCAATATCTAAACAAAGTTTCACACCTTATTATATGGGACCATAGTTCATTTCAGCCACGACATACTTTTTAGGGTTAAGTTTAGAAGAACAAGATGGCCATTAGACTGTCCCACCTTCTCTATGTGGTTTCTCGTGCTATTGAGGCTTTCTGTTTTAATATTTGAAAAATAGTCAGACACAGATATGCCCCATTCTCATCCATAATTTCAGGTTTATCCAAGTAACTTTCCAGCCCTTACTAAAGTGAGTTTGAAACGAAAGGCTTTAACATTTCATTAATTTTGTTATATGCTCCAAAAGATAACAACTTTTTGTCCTACCTAATTTAAAATTTTGCACAAAAAATAAAATTGCTATCCAGGTATTTTTAGCTTTTTATACCTATTATTTAATCAGAAGTAACTATGCTCTAGAGGGTCTGAAAAATACAAACCAAATCTAGTTCTGCCACAACTTCCCTAATAATTAGTCCTTGGCTCCTCAATGTGAAAATTATTTTTTCAATGAAAATATTTCTTATGGCAGCATCTTACTTCAATAAGTCCATTCGCGGCTCACTGCTCTGCTCTCATCTTGTGTTACTTCAGGAATCCAAATGTTACCTTTATGAGTTTCCTTTCTAAGTTTCTTGACATTTTAAAGCTGTTTGTTTTTTAATCCCCAGACAGTATACTTCCTTTCCAGACTTTCATCTCTCCTTCTCCAGAAATCTACTTCTCTGCTTCATTAAGCCTCTCTGTAATATCCAGAATTAAATCGCATACCTCATTTATTGTTGTGCCGGTGGATTGCTTTTTTTTCCCCTTCTTTTTAATGCAGCACTGGAAATGACTTTGAAAGAAATGACCTAAAGTTTTCACCATTCAATTTATTTTAATTTTTACTTCTAGATAATTGTGGAATAAGAAGGTGTTTGACCTAAAAAAAAGGAGGAAGTCGTCAAAAGCCCTGGGGTCGATGAAGGCCATGGGCAATGATGGTCACCTGCCAATAATTGAAGGGCTTTGTCATGAGAGGGAGGAATGATATTATTCTATAGAATTTTCAAGATAGACCCAGGACATGACAAAATAAGTTACCAGAACATATTTCTACTCAGGTTGTTTTAGAAACAGTGAGTTATTCCCTTTGGAGAGTACTTACTTGGGAGATTCCTGAAATGAATGAGGTATCTTACTGAATGGGTTTATAAATCTGTATCCATATTAAAACTTCTGGGAGGCTTTGACTGAAGGTCTGTCCCAACAACACAGAATCATGTGGTGGGTTAGAACAAAGATCAGGAGGACAAAGAACCCACATTTAAGTCCCAGCTGTACTAGAGGCAAAGTTGTGTGATGTTAGCAAGTTTTGTTTACCCTCTCCTTGCCTCATTTCCCCACCTATAAAATAAGAATGAAAGTCATGTGTACAAGTTCTGGAAGTCAAGAAATAGGTCCAAATTTCTTTCTCGTCCTTTTTTAAACATCTGTGCTGGAGTGTTGTATGAAAGGAGACAAGGTTAGCACTCCGACAGCGAAGGAAGACCACCTTAGGCCTGACAACGCACATACCCTTAAGGCATTGCCACCTACTCTGTGGCATCTAACCATCATTTTTTAAGAAACAAAACAAATGCGGGCCCCTGGGTGGCACAGTCGGTTAAGCATTAAGAGAGTGTGAGAGAATCCAAGCAGGGGGAGGGGCAAAAGGAGAGGGAGAAGCAGGCTCCCTGCTGAGCAAGGAGCCCAATGCAGGTCTTAATCCCAGGACCCCAGGATCACACATAACAGACTGAGTCACCCAGGCCCTCCACTCTTGCCATTTTAAACATGGGGCTGATTCATTTGGTAGAGTGTAAACATTATGGGCCACAATCCAGATGTAGAGCTAGCTTACAGTAAAAAGGCTTAAGAATTTTTATTTGAATAGTAATAAAAGAAATTAGTATATAATCTGAACACTATAAACCATGTATCAGTTATCAAATGGTCAAGGAGTAACCTTGCATCAATGTCTTGGTAGATCCTGGCATAGGTTTACAATGTGTGGTTTTCTACTATGATTCCATGACTGAAATCTATTCCAACTGGATTACGGCTGTTCCCCCATCCCTCCTAGTTCTTGATGAATTCTATTTCACCCCACCTGCAATGCCAAGGGAATTATGTGTTTCCAAGTAAAATTAAATAATAAGTTTGAAAAATCAGAAGTTAAATGTATAAATTGTATGGAACTTTTCCCATGGAACCTTTGAAAATTCTCATATAATACCACAAATTAACATTTCACAGTTGCCTGAACAATCATCTTAATGTAGTTAACACAGAGATGTTTGTCCCTGAGCAAGGGTCAAGGTACAGACTGGGTCATCTTTAAAAATATAAGGAAGCCGCTCAAAAATATTTCTAATTCTTTGACTCAACTCTGTGGGTTTCTGTAGGAACCCATCATTATTCAGGCCTTTAGCATAATGGTTACAAGAACAAGCTTTGGAATAAAAAAAGATCTAGGTTTACTTTTTCATTTAATGTTGCTTGAACCAATTATTTATACTCTCTAGGATTCACTCTACCCATCTGCAAAAGATGTTAATCCCACTTTGTAGAGTTACTGTAAGGGTTAAATGAGATAATGTGTTTGAAAAACATATTATTATTAATAATCACACTGACCACTCATACTATGTATCAATTTATCCAAAAAATATTTAAGGAGGACCAAATATGTGCAAGGCACTGAGTTCTATCCTAGTGATGCCGACCGACAGGGATTCCTCTGACTGTAGAAGGAAATGGACTTTTAAGGAAATGGCGCAATCAGGTATGTCAGGTAGTTTGATGTAAGCCTGCCATGCGTTCAGGGAGAGCACAAAACTTCAATTCTATTCTAGGAGCTGGGATCATAAAGACGCTAACTCTATCAGTGTTCTAGCAGGGGAGAGATGGCACACTCCAAGGTGTCAATGAGAAGAGTTTACTGTAAAGACTGTTTACAGAGGTTGGGGCACCTGGGTGGCTCAGTGAGTTAAAGCCTCTGCCTTCAGCTCGGGTCATGATCCCAGGGTCCTGGGATTGAGCCCGTGTCAGGCTCTCTGCTCAGCGGGGAGCCTGCTTCCCTTCCTCTCTGCCTGCCTCTCTGCCTACTTGTGATCTCTGTCAAATAAATAAAATTAAAAAAAAAAAAAAAGACTATTTACAGAGGTATGGGCAGGGTTAAGAGAACCAACAAGGATGACGAAGGTCTCCAGGATGAGGAAGAGTGGGAGGAAGCATTAAACCCGTAGACTGGTTTCGTTTCCAGTATTCAAGTGAGTGAGAGCCGTGGCGGTAGGAGGCACGGCATCGGGGAGAAGAGCAAAGCCACTACCAAACCACAGAGCAGCAGGGATGAAAGCATGCAAAAGCAGAGGGAATAAATATCCAGACCTCTCCTCCTGCCCTCTAATCTTCCAGTCCACGGGGCCTCCCATTGGCCAACTTCAACTGGCAGGCTGGAGCTCCGAGGAGCTCGGTGAGGGAGGAGACGTCCCACATCAGCCCTGGGGCAGAAAGCTGGGTGAGAAAGGCCGGGGAGCAGAACTGGAGCCGCCGATGGAAAAGAACCAGCACGCTCACAGCTGATAGGAGCCTGGAAATGGGAGCAGGTGTGGCTGAGTTAGGAGGGCATTTTAGCAGATAGCGCAACAAAAACAAAAACACAGACGTGTGAGAGGACGGAACAAAACACGTCATATTAGTAGAATCGGAGGGCGGAATGCAAGGCCAGAGATGAAGGAGAAGTCAAATCTTGGAGGCCCTGGTACATCTTGCCAAGGCACTTAGACCATATTCTTCTACAGAGCAAATAACAGCCTGTGTCTCCCGAAGGACAAAAGCAATCTACTGCTAGTTAAGTCCATGTCTGTGTGTGCATATATGCTTGTGTGTATGATGAGAACAGATCATACTGAGAATTTTTGTCTATTTCCCTCTTTGAGACTCTTGTGAACCAACTGCTAATACGAACTACATATGTTACAGAGGACACTGTATCATTCCTAATTGTTTTACCGTAATATATTTAGTTATACACTAAATTAACACTAATTGAAGTTGGAAGAGATTCAGAAAGCAATTAAATATTATTTGGAATCGAATGGTAGGGCAGGATATGTTGTTCTCTCAATAGAGAACTCGTGTTGAATGATTGCATTGAGTTAAAATGACATTTTTCCCCCTGAATTCCAGCAAGTAATTCAGTCCCCTTCACCTTTTCCAAATCACATGGTAAGAAAAGAAAAGATGCTAATGTAAGTATGTTTCCTTATTTAGATTTGCCCTTGCATTAGCTATTTAGACTAAAAGCCAAATTAATCTTACGGTGAAGCCTACAAACTCCAAAGCACATATAATGAATCATCTGTTTTGCTCTTTTCCTAATCTTGTCTGTGGAAATACAAGAGAAGTACTCAGAAGCTTGTTCGAAGAGCAAATTAAAAAATAGTTTTTCAAACGAGCTTTTATACACTGTACCTATTGTTTTTTTTTTTCAATCCTGTTTATGTCTTTGTGTAAAAAGAGAGATAGAAAAATACACTAATTTTCCTTGCATCTAAATACACATGTTACAATTCGGAGCAGATACTTTTGGAATTTTTGTTTACTGTTGGGACTCACCATCTGGGGCCACAGAGCTCTGGGCCACAGAGCAACATTTAACCCTTAACTCCAGCTCCACTGGCTACTAAAACCTGAACTAAAAATCAAACTGATTTCTGGATGTGTCTGTAAGTATGTTGTACATTATAATTTAGGAGATTACCAAATTAAAACCAACTACCTGATTATTTTGGCCTAAGTCGATTATTATTTTTTGAGGTTTTAAAGGCAGCAGACTAGCTTAATTCATAAGAAATATGTGATGGTATACAAAATTCTGTTTACCTTAGATAGATGCTGGAATTGAATTCAATTAGGTCTTAATTAATTTGTTGCATATTAAAATAAGTGTGTGGCTTAAAACTCCAACCTGGTAATTTATCTATTCAAAGATTTCTTGAGGGTTTGGCAGGAATCAGAGAAATAATTAAGTTACTACAGGTCTCTAGTGTACAATGAGAATTTCAGAGGAAGATTTGCTCCTTCTCATGAGGGAGACTTTCTGAAGGGAAAAGAACTAAGGATTATAACTCAGAGGAAATGACTGCCTCAGAGGCGAAAAGGGAAGATTTTACTTCAAAAGGAAGATGATTTAGAAAAAGACCAACTTCTCTGAAGCCTAAAAGAAGAAGCAGACCACAGACATTGGAACTTGTAGCTCATTTATTTATTCGAGAGAGAGAGAAAATGCACACAAGTCTGGGAGAGGTGCAGAGGGAGAGGGAGAAGCAGACTCCCTGCTGAGCAGGAGCCCCCCATGCAGGGACCCATCCCAGGGTCTCCATCCCAGGGTCTCCATCCCAGGACCCAGGACCCAGGATCATGACCTGAGCAGAATGCAGCTGCTTAACCACTTAACTGATGAGCCACCCAGGCGCCCCACAGAGCTCATTTTTTAAATATTAAAGTATTTAATCCAACAGTTACAAAATACTTAATTACATTTTAGACAGAGGGATACTTCTATCCCTTGAAGACTATTAAGTCTATTGAGAGGGGTCAAATCGTTTTAAAAAGAAGTGTGAGACTTTAAAATAAAATTTTACTCATACTGTGGGAAAAAAGGAGTGTGCTGGAGTGCTGGAAGGAAGTTTGCAGGGAAGAGATGACTCTTGAGCTGAGTCTTGAAAGAGGAGAAATGGCATGCAAAGCAGAGAGGAGTCAGTTACTTGTGCTGGGAATTTTCAGTGGGAGAACCGTGAGTTCAGTGTGCTTGGAAGGTAGAGTGGGTCAGGGAAAACCGTGTCAGAACAGGCTGGAGAATGGTCCTGAGGCAGCCTGCCAAAGAATGTCAGCATCATTTCATACATGCAGGTGGGTCACTGGGGATTTTAGGGAGAACGGGGAATTTCTACAATTTGCCTATTTATCCAGAAATAGCTTCTGGAGCCATGTGGTCATTTAATTAAAGGGAGTAAGTCAGGAAGTATCTTAGTAAATGATGCACAGTAGTCATAAATGATATCAACTTGAAATATTCACCATTAATTGATCACTATTAAGGAATAACTCTTCTCTCAAATAAATAAATGAGCTATGAGTTCCCATGTCTGTGGTCTGCTTCTTCCGTAGGCTTCAGAGACGCTGGGAGGCGGCCAGTTATATAGCCTGAGTATAATTGCTGGTAGTGTGTGTGTGTGTGTGTGTGTGCACGTGCGCACGGACACACACAAGGTCTAAGCTGGTAACACTAACACTCTTCTTCCACTGCCCATTCCATATTCCTCTTACTCTCTGCCAGCATCTCAGTCTGACGGCCATCTTAACCCAGTAGGGTGACCCAAACCTTCATTTCTTTAAAGGATACAAGCCTTTGGTGGTCTTGCCTTTCTCAATTATCTCAGTTTTCCACTGTAAGGCTATTGGAAAATGGAATATTAAGCAAAAGGGAGCGTACACCCCCTAAAAGTAAATGCTCTGGATTCCAGACATAGTCCTGTTCCATGGTGCAGCAGCAACCAATTTTCTCCAGCAATCAATT